GGGCGTCGGGCCCCGAACCCGCACCGTCGGCTGAAGTGTGTCGGGTCATCAATAACCGACCGAGAGACCGGTCCAGACCGGACCGGGCCGAGGCGCCCTCCAGTCTCGCGGCCCACCGCGGCCCGTCGGTTCACACCTTCGCTTCACGCCCCGCACCGACACGTAAACAACAGGCGAATCCAACGAGCCGCGCAATCATTTGTTATCTGATGCGGAAAATTGCGTGGTCAAGGCAGTTCCTGTGCTTTCCCACGCACAGAGACGGCCACAAAGAGCCGGCGAGAAAGTGAAATGGGCGTAGCCGACAATAACCACAAACACACGCGCCGCCAGCAGCTCGCGGACGGACAATAGACGCCGCGACCCGGCCCGGCCACGAGCCGCTGGGTGCGCACGTGCCGGAGATGAGTCGGTCACGGCGGGACCCGCCGCACGTCGTGACGTCCGTCACCCCGCCGGCCCGCCCACCCGGTCGACGCCGGCGCGCCCCGCGCCCGGGCCGTCAGCGGGCCCGGCGGCGGCGCTGCGGGCGACGCGTGACCTCGGCCGGCTGACCCGGCCCGACCGGCGCCCGTTCACACCCGATCGAGCGACCGCAGCGCCGGCCGCCGGCCCAGATCAGGCCAGTGGGGTGAGAGCGCTGCGGCGGCGGTGGCGGCGGCCGGGCAGCGAGGTCCGACGGGCGGCGGGCCCGTCAGCCCGGCGGCGACGGCGTCTCAGATCAGGCCCGCCGCCCGTCAATCTCGAGCGGGCCGCCGCCGCCGCGGGTGCGCCGCACGACAGGCGCCGTCATGAATACGTCAGGGTCGTGTGAGACCTTGCCGCCGGCTGGCGGCGGGAGGCGGCGCTCACTCTGACGCCTGTCCGCGGCGTGGCCGCCGGCGTCCGGAGGTCCCCGGACGCGGGTGGTCGGACACATCAGCCGGAAGCGGCAGCCTTGATCGCGCCGCCGCCGTCCCACGGTGGCCGCCTCCCGGCGCGACAATGAACGGCCGGCCAACCAGCCCGGCCGGCGGTGCCGGCACGCCTAATCACCAGCCGGCTGGAACGCAGCCCGACACGCCCGGCCGTGAGAAGACGTCGGCGCTCGTCACCGGCCGGCCCGGGTGACGAGCGTCCGGCGGCCCCTCCGGTGCCGGACCACGGACGCCTACACGGGCGTCAGCCGGCCGGTCCGGGTGACGAGTGCTCGGCGGCCCCTCCGGCGCCGGACCACGGACGCCTAAACGGGCGTCAGCCGGCCGGTCCGTGCCCGCTCAGCCGTGCCACCAGCGGTGGCGATCGCAGCCGCGCACCGCAGGCGGCGGGTCAGCCGTCCCGCGACGGGGCGGCCGGGCTCCGAGTAACGGGGGCCTGCCAACCCTGGCGAGGTCGTGCGTGTGCCCGCCTCCGCCCTACTGCCTCAATGAAGGCGGACGGGGGAAGACGGCGTGCATCTCAGGGTGGGAGTGACCCAACTTTGGCCGCAGGAGGCGCCTGCAGCGGCCAGCGACCGGCCAGATACGGCCTCCGCGAAGCTGCGGGGTTATGTCTCTCGCTCCACTCCGGCCGTCCCAGGGGGAAGGGTTCACCGCGTGACCGGCGCCGCAACCACGGGACAAACCGGCCTGTCGGCGGCCCCAGCTTGTCGACGGGGCCCAGCTGGGAGCGCCGCGATGCCCCCCCCCCCCTCCCTCCCCTTCTTTTCCAGGACTGTGCACCACAGCGCACGGGCTGCGCGCGAGCAGACCCCCGGGACGGTGCTGTCGGCGCGCAGCAGACTCGACGCCAGTCACTGGGGCCGCCGGCCGGGAAAAAAGTCGCGCCGTCCGGACCGCGGCGGGCCGCTCTCTCCAGCCGCCGAGCTGTGAGGAGAGCTGCTGCTGCCCTCCGAGTAAGCCGCGCAGCCAGCGCCGGCCGTCCCAGCCCGGCAGCGGACAGCTGCGGTACAGAGGCCGCCCGCTCCCAGGTCGGCGCTGGCTGCTCGGTATCAGAACAGCCAGCGCCGGCCGTCCCAGCCCGGCAGCGGACAGCTGCGGTGTACAGAAGGCCGCCTGCTCCGCCGCCGCTCCCAGGCCGGCAGCGGACAGCTGGGGTACAGAGGCCACCCGCTCCGCCACCGCTCCCAGGTCGGCGCTGGCTACTCGGTATCAGAACATCCGCCACTGGGCGGCGACGCACGCCGAGGTACACGCTACGGTACCGGCGTCCCCGAGTCGCAGGCTGCCGCGTGTGGCTCCCTTCCATCATACCTCAGCTACCTGTGCAAACGGTCCACACATGCGCCCCTGTTCACACGTTCGCCGGGGGCAAGGATACCGCGGAAAAAGTGCGGCCATGCCTTCGCCGCGGCGCACGTACCCAGTGCGGAAATACCTGCGCTCGGTGCAGAATTTTGCAAAGGCACAAACAGGTTTTCCTTTCCCTGGAGCCCATGGTTGGTAACGGCTGTTGCTGTCTGAGTAACCAAAGCTGCGGCAAGGTCACACGAGGAGCCGAGTGTACGTGTATAAATACTGCTGCATTCACCCGCAAAACGTATTCATCATAAAGCTTTCGTCTAAAACCGGGACCGAATCCGTGCGGCTAGCGCGGCCTTCCCCTCAGGTAACACGGCTTCTCACCTGCCCCCGTCAGGCGGGCTTCCACCGCCGCCGCCCTCCCGGGGCGCCCCCACTGCAGCCCCGCACCGCCAGATCCGGGACAACCAGCAGCTCAAACAGCGAGGCCCGCACGGCGCGAAGCACCTGTTTACGGCCGGGAGGTCGCACGCAGTCGGCGGGCGGCGGCTCGCGCGACGTCAGCTGACGGTCACGGCAAGGTCAGTGGGCGGCCCGACGGCGGCGCGACACCCGCCAGGTAACGGTGCGGTCCCATCGGCGGCGGCCCGGCCCAGCCCGGCTGGGGCCGGCTCAGGCTGGTGAGCGGTGCTGGCCCCTTCACACTGCCGCCGGCCGTCGCCCGCCCGCTGCGGAAGGCCACCACACAGGTCAGGACCGGGTGGAAGGCAGAGGGGGGGGGGGGCGGATCAGCTGGGACCGCGGGCAGGGATCAGGTGGGGCCGGGGTGGTCAGCTGGGGCCGGGGATCAGCTGAGGCCGGGGACCGGAGTGAGCTGGGGCCGGGGAGATCAACTGGAGCCGGGAGATCAGCTGGGGCCGGGGATCAGCTGGAGCCGGGGGATCAGCTGGGACCGCGGGCAGGGATCAGGTGGGGCCGGGGTGGTCAGCTGGAGCCCGAGGGGGATCAGCTAGAGCCGGGGATCAGCTGGGGCCGGGGATCAGCTGGGGCCGGGGATCAGCTGAGGCCGGGGACCGGAGTGAGCTGGGACCGGGGAGATCGACTGGAGCCGGGAGATCAGCTGGGGCCGGGGGATCAGCTGAGGCCGGGAACCAGAGTCGGCTGGGACCGGGGAGATCAACTGGAGCCGGGAGATCAGCTGGGGCCGGGGGACCAGCTGCGGCGGGGGACCAGAGTCGGCTGAGGCTGGGGGATCACCTGGGCCGGGGTATCAGCTGGGGCCGGCGTATCAGCTGGGGCCGGGGATCAGCTGAGGCCGGGGGATCAGCTGGGACCGGGGACCGGAGTCAGCTGGGACCGGGGAGATCAACTGGAGCCGGGAGATCAGCTACGGCCGGGGAGATCAACTGGAGCCGGGGGATCAGCTGCGGCCGGGGGCCGGCTCATGTGCGCACACCGCTGCCTGACCGCAGGCCAGGCTTAGTGGTCCAGCCCGCGTGTAAGCGCCGCCATCAAAACACGCCTGGCAGACGGGAGGGCGACGAGCGTGATGGTGTTTACCGTGGAAGACACCAGCCTGGCTGACGTACTCTGACAACACGGACAGCCGCGCTCACATGCGGGGGATTGTGGAGCGTCAGGTGGGCACCAGCGAGGGCTGACCGCAAACGGCTGCCTGGTGCAGACGCTCCGAAGGACTTCGACCCAACGGAAGGCTAATCCCGCCGAGCTGAATAGAAACACGATGATGGTCACTTTTTGTGCCATCATTCCTAAATTACCCGCAATACAGATACGCCGCCCTCCCAAACAGGCACGCCCCTAATCTGCGCACAGCGCTCTTAACGCATGCGAAGTCGCACGCGGGGGCGAAACCAGCCCAAACGCGGAGGGCTATCATCAGCCATAAAAGGCTGCGGCTTTTCGGGAGAAAACTGGCCCTATCACGGCCGAGCCGTCACTCCAAAAGGAGCCGGCGTGCCAATCACGGCGGCCGAGACGGCGCGCCGGAGCACGGCCGGCCCGGGCCGGCGCGCATCTCCTGAATACCATCGGGGAGACGGGCGGCGGGCGGCGGGCGGCGGGCGGCGGGCGGCGGGCCGGTGGGGCGGCGGGCCGGCGGGGCGGAGCACGGCTGGCCCGGGCCGGCGCGCATCTCCTGAATACCATCGGGGCGGCGGGGCGGCGGGGCGGCGGGCCGGCGGGGCGGCGGGCAGCGCGCCGGAGCACGGCTGGCCCGGGCCGGCGCGCATCTCCTGAATACCATCGGGGAGACGGGCGGCGGGCCGGCGGGGCGGCGGGCGGCGGGCGGCGGGCGGCGGGCGGCGGGCCGGCGCCGGCCAGCTGGCCGGACGGTGACGCGCGTCCTCCCGCCCGCGACTCTATATGGCACGGCACCAGATCACAGCGATGGAAGCCGGCGTCTTGAAAAGGTCGGCCGTCGCAAGCTTCAAAACGGGCCGGTGCCACCCCACGGAAGCAGTCTCATTCGTATCGATCGCGAATTCGGCATAGGCCGGTTTTGCAGCCGGCTGGGCTCATCTGGGCGGCGGCGCTAGGAGGCTAGCCTAAGGCATTATCTCGGTGGTTGGCCTTGCGGCGCCGCTCGTCGCTGCGTCACGTGACGCGGACGTTCACGACCATCCTCCTGGTGCTGTGCATAGGCATGCGAGCGCTGCGGGGAACGTCCGCGGGTCTCGCGTATCTCGCGCCTGTGAGAGCATTGCTGGAGCCCCACTCTATCCGATGTTCGCGCCGGTGCGCATTTGGCTATCAGCTCACCTGCGTCTCATGTATGGCGGGCAGGCGGGCCCTGGTGCGCGGCAGCGAGTAGAAGCCGGGGCTCTGCACGAAGAGACGGATAGCGCCCGGTGCCTGCACGGTCACGTTCATGCCGGGGCGCACGGTCACGCGCGTCACCGGCTCTGCCAGGGGACCCAGGGCGGCCGGGCCGGCCGCCGCCGGCTGCTCGCTGGCCTGCAGCGCGCACTCTCACTCGCGCCCGGCGGCCCTCCGGCCGGGTCGCCCCGCCTCCTCCACGCGCCCTCCTCACCCGTCACAGACTGCTCGGTATCGGCGCCCTGCACCCGCTGCGCGCCCCGCTTGACTGTCGCCAGAGCCACGCGCCGAGCGCGCCGCCGCCCGCCGCCGCCGACGGCGCGGCCGTGTACGGTCTCTGGCAGGGAGCGCCGCGCGTCAGAGACTGTACGCCACGGGGAGACTGTCGCCGGCAGCCTGCCGCCGCTGCTGAAGCTGTTGCTGATGGATTAGTTCTGCGCAGATGGCTGGAAGCGGCAACCACTTTCAAAGCCGGCATGTCGGCTCAAGCCGAGGCTAGCGAAAGCGACAGATGAGGAACGAGCCGGACATCGAGTGACATAACCGCGCGAATAGGCGGTTTTGCTTTTGACTGATTTCGGCAATAGCGCGTTTTTCACACACTACGGTTTCGCAAGACATCAGGAGTCCAGGAAAACTAAACGTGCTAAATAACCACAATCCTTGGTAAGCTTCTACAATGATACTGAACGAATGCATCAAGACAAGACGGCTTGTCATTTCGTGACGCGTTTATCCCATCCCTGCCGAAATAGTCAAAAAATGAAATTATTTGAACAAAATACTCGACAGCAGTCACTACCCAAACAGCGTAAGCAAGAAACTGGACAGCAAAGACCGACTCTGACAAGCAGTAACCGGCTACCTCGGTTGTATTCCGCGTGGTCCCAAGCCAACGATCCATGGTCACACCTGATCACCCTGTCCTGGGAGTTCGCGGGCCCGGGCGCCGCTGATCAGACCACAACAGGTCAGGTCAGGTCGGACAGGAAACAATCGCTCGCGCACCGGGGGCTCCGGCTCCCACGCGGATGCCGCGCCGACACCGAGCCGGCGGGGGTCCTCCATCACCGGCCCGGCCGGCCGGCCGACGCACGTCACCGGCTCAACTTAACACGGCGACGCCGTGAGTGGCAGGCGGCGGCCCGCATGAGCGGCGCCCCCGCCGGCACCGGCCCACCCCGAGCCGGAGGACGGAAGCCCGCCAGCGTCGGCCCCGCCCCCCGGGCAGAGGACGGGCGCCTGCAGGCACCGGCCCACCCCGAGCCGGAGGACGGAAGCCCGCCAGCGTCGGCCCCGCCCCCCGGGCAGAGGACGGGCGCCTGCAGGCACCGGCCCATCCCGAGCCGGAGGACGGAAGCCCGCCAGCGTCGGCCCCGCCCCCCGGGCAGAGGACGGGCGCCTGCAGGCACCGGCCCACCCCGAGCCGGAGGACGGAAGCCCGCCAGCGCCGGCCCCGCCCCCAGGGCAGAGGACGGGCGCCTGCAGGCACCGGCCCACCCCGAGCCGGAGGACGGAAGCCCGCCAGCGTCGGCCCCGCCCCCCGGGCAGAGGACGGGCGCCTGCAGGCACCGGCCCACCCCGAGCCGGAGGACGGAAGCCCGCCAGCGTCGGCCCCGCCCCCAGGGCAGAGGACGGGCGCCCGCCGGCACCGGCCCACCCCGAGCCGGAGGACGGAAGCCCGCCAGCGCCGGCCCCGCCCCCAGGGCGGAGGACGGGCGCCCGCCGGCACCGGCCCCGAGTCAGAGGACGAACGCCGGACTCGGCGCCGGCTCCCTGAGCTGCTAACACGGCCGGGCGTGAGAGGGCCGCCGACAGTGAGCCCGCCTCGTGCATATCGCCGTGACAGGCCGGCCGCAGCACCGGGGAGCTGGCAAACCCGCACAAGCGGCCATGGCGAATCCACCGGTAAAAACGGCCTCCTTCGCGCCAGAGGCGGCACCGGTCCAGACGGAGGATGAAAGTCTGACGAGGGTGGAGAACGGCGGCGGGGGCCAGCGGGTCTTTCATTTTTAAAAGACGCTCGTCGGGAAGCCACTTCAGTGCTCACACGTAAAGCCGACGGCGGGTTTCCCATACCTGATATGGCTGCACCTTGAGCGCGTCACGTGCCGACGCGGTGTAGATCAATAATGACACGGCCAGACGCTTCGAGACATTTCGCCGGACATGGCTGAGCTCGGAACAAATCGTGACACAAAAGAAAGCCGAACAGAATAAGTGGAAAACAATAGACAGATCAGATGACGTCAAAATTTGTTTTATCAATGATACTGTCCGAACCTGCACCGAGGTCATCGCGACCCAGAATGCGAGCCATCGACTGCAAGCAACTAAGCAGTACCGATTGGCAACACCAACAACATTCACCTCTGTACAAAGCTGATGGCAGGGCCGTCGACAAGCGGACGGCAAAAACATGCCCACAGCTAAACAAACGTGCCCCATCGCCAACTAATCTCGGCTGCTTTCTCCGCGTGTATGACATGAGGATGCCGCTATCACCGTTATCTTATGCCGAAACGAGCCGTGCAATCTACCCGCGTATCAGACACACGCTCGTTATCTCGATCTCCTTGCCGTGGCAATCTGGTACAAGGTCTGCAAACCAAAGTTAACCACGGCTGTACTGAAACGATAACTGAACTACGAAACAAACCTGTCCATCCAGCAACCTCATGCACACGACCACTGTCAAGCTCAACATGTTACGGGATACCGCTGCAAAAATGCAGGCACCTGGTACCAGCAACAGCCCAGATGTATTTACGTTGGCGCAGAACTGCCAATTTATAGCTGACGCACTGGTGCCGGGTTCCAATGCATCCAAAACATGGTCAACTCTTTCAGTTGCCAACAAACTACCTGTATCACCAGCCCACGCATTGCTGCGTGGTGCTGAATGGACCGCTCCGCGGTGCTCTGCTGGTACCACGGCGCCAGAATATTCCTCCGCTTTCGAGGGAACTGTAAAGATACTGCTCAGAGTACCCGTCTGAATGTCCATAGACCATACACTACCCTTCGCTGCATTGCGCTACAAAGAGCAGCTAGTTCATGCGCATGTGAATGCAGCACTTGCCGCACTCATTCATTCGTGAGGCACACGAACAGACCACACATACGCGCCGCCGCCCGGCAGCCAACGCACGTGAAAAGCTATTCTCTCCCCAGCCCGCCAACCGAGCATGCTGCACCGCACCACAGCGACACTCGTACGCCACCTGGTGACACGTTCTGAAACTGAAGCTTGCGCTGGCGGCCGGCTGGCGGCCAAGCGGCGGGCGCCCAGCGCCGACAACCGGCAGCAAAAACGACAGGTGGGCGGCGCAAACACCGTAAACAAACGCACTTATGCCGACAGCGCCACTTTACGTCAGCGCAGGCGCCGAACAAAGGCCGGCGTTGTCATTGGAGCGTGAGCGCGCGCGCGCGCGTGTTTGCCGATCAGGCGGCATTCCGCAGGGCGGACAGCTTTGTTTGATGCCCCGCCCCGCGCGCCCAGCCGCCACAGGCTCGGCCCTGAAAGCCCACAGCGCCATAACACGGCCGGACAGTGTCGGCTTCGCCCAAAGGCAATGCTGACCAATCACGCGGCGGCTGGATGGCCGCCCAGAAGCGATCCGATCCGACGGTCGCCGGGAAGCGATCGGAACCGCTCCATTGTGACGCCATACATGTTCCCACGTGCCGGGCCCCGCCAGCGCCGCGGGCCGCCGTCGTACCGCCGCCGCGGGCGGAGAAGGCCCAGCTATCGCTCCTCGACGAAAGGCCTGGCTGGCACCGCTATCAGGCCGACACGGCGCCGTCCAAGCTGCCCCAGTCAAGGCAGATCAGGCCGAGACAGCGCCCAGCTGTCTCAGCCAGGGAAGCGCAAGCCGAGACGGCGTCGTACCAGTCAGGACGGGTTCAGCCGATACGGCGCCGCCCCAGCTGTCCCAGCCAGGGTAGCTCAGGCCAACACGGCGCCGCCCCAGCTGTCCAAGCCAAGGCAGCTCAGTCTGACACGGCGCAGTCCCAGCTGTCCCAGTCAGGACAGCTGCCACAATGGCCGGCAGGTCTGGCCATTTTCCGGGAGATATGGCCCGACAGCCGATACCACGGCCTCACGGTACAGCATTGCTCGGCCGATACTCGACACCGACAGGCAAAGTTCAACTGCTGCGCAGACCACGCTCAGCTGTCACGCAGGCGCGCGCCACTGCTGGCAGCGCCGGGGTGCAAGCACAGGCGAACGGACCGCCGTCGAGCTCGAGGTGCCAGGCCCGACCCTGACGGCGTGCGCCACACAGCCGCGCCCCGCGCGAGTACTACATATAGACACACCGACCATGTACTACGTATAGACACGACCGACCTTGGCTTCGTACGGGGAACCTTGTACACACAACCTCCCACAAACCCCAGGAGAAGCGAGTCCACCTACAGCAGGAGCGAACTGCGCAGCCACCAGCGGCCTCGTGCCTGGCGCCCCCCCCCCCCCCCCGCCGTCCGATTACCTGGGAGGGTCGCGGCGAGTTCATCCTCAGCGTGTAGCTCCAGCCCAGTGCGCGGCCCAGCTTGCCGCCCAGCACACGCCGCAGCCGACGGAACCCCATCGACGCCGACGCTACGGCGCTCGCGCCGCGCGATCGCTCAGCAGTCTTGTTGCCTCACTCGGCAGCGGTCACGGGGTCGGGGCGGGCGCGCACGACAACACCACAACGTGCTGTCCACTGCGGCACCGGCGCGGTCACCAACGGGAGGTCACGAAGACTGGTCACAGACCGCGCGCGCCCAGCTCCCGCAGCCGACGGCCAGCCGCCACTGGCAGGAGACGACGCGGGCGGGTCGGGCCGCCGCGCGCATGGAGAGGCATACGTGAGTGGCGCGTTCAAGGCACGCTCGACTCGGCACGGCGCGCCACGGCTCAGCGCGGCTGGCGGCGCCGGCGGCGGACCGAGTCCAGGGTCAGCGGCGGAGGAGAAGGTCTCGGCCGCCCGCCGACCTCCGACTCCGGGCCCTGCTGCCCCGCCCGGTCACAGGCGGTGCCGGCGTCACTGGCACCGTCGCCTTGGCTCGCCCCACGGCTCGTCACCACGCTCCACCAGCCGCCGACCAGCTCCGTGATCGACCTCCGCCCACCACGTCCGCCGAGCCGCCGCCGGCAGCTCGCCGCACGGCCGAGAGCACGAGTGAGACACGGCCACCGCCCGGGCCGAGCCGAGCCGGCGGTGTCGGCGCGGCGGGCAGCAGCGCCGAC